TCTCGATTTCTGATTGGTTTATGCATTTATCATCCGCAGATCACATGGCAGCCCTGGGTGTCCCTGGGTGATGGTCTCCGACTTCAGTATACCGGAGCATCGGACATCTCCTAGTATAGGGTCCTGCTCGAAGGGCCGGTTGGCAGGGTCTGGTTCCTGGGGGAGCGCTTTCTGCGCCAGGTACGAGGGTATCTTTCTCAGGATATTCCCGCAGTACCTCCAGCTAGTATGCGGACCGCTGACAGGCTCTCTTACTCAGAGGTAGTCGGCGCCATGCTGGGCAGTGATGCTTTGCTATATGTTGTGGAGGGGGACTACGCCACTTACCGTCACATATATTTGATGCCTCCATTGACAGAAGCTCGTATTCCGATGATGAGACCTGCCGGTATGTCATCCTCGGACCAGGCTCAGGCTCGAGCTACAGACATCCCTTCTTCTAGCAGGGCTGGCACATCTAGAGGTGGGAGTAGACCGTTTCCTCCGACTCCGTCGATTCATCCTCATCTAGGATGGCCAGATATGCCTACTGAGTTGATGGCGTGGCAGTATGGGGCTAGCTCTCCGACCCCGATCCCACTAGAGCCTCCGATGCCTAGTGATCGATATGCCATTGATCCGGACTCACCGCCAGTATGCTCCATTTTTCATTCATCATTCAGATGTTTAGACACTCTTCTGTTCACTGATGATTATGAGCTCATTTTTGCAGCCATCGCGAGGATACATAGAGGAGGTGGTTGGACTGGTGGCCACACTCGAGGGCATGGTCCTGCGCAGGGAGGCACAGTTATCTGTCGCGGGCATTCAGGTACCCTTCAGTTTTCTGGCATTTATCATACTTCTGATGGCATGCTGATTTCTACTGCATCGATAGACTTTTTGTGTAGAGCACATCTGACACACACCCCACTTGTATTCCGTATTTACATGCTCCCATTTCATGTAGCCTTTGCTTGTATCTGCATTTGATGTACATATTTGGACTGATGCATTTGAATTGAATTCTTTGTTTTCAGATGCCTTCATGGTCCGGTCAGCCGCAGACCAGGCCACCTGGGCCTCATTGGGGAGCTGGGCCATCTGAGCCTTTCCGAGGAGCCGGGCCATCTAGACCTTTTCGAGGGACTCGAGGGGGGCCCGTCCGCAGACGCAGGGCTCACGTTGTGGAGGTGGAGCCTGATGAGGAGGAGGAGGAAGCTACCGACCGTCAGTTCGAGACATCTGTTGAGGAGGGAGGCTCCGGTTTTGGCTCGGGGAACAGAGGCGAGGCTGAGGGGGATCCTGAGGATGACGGCTCCGACTCAGATGATGGTGTGGAGGTCGTCCCGCAAAAGAGGACGAGGTGTTCTTCTCGTTCCCGCTCCCGAGGATTTTGATGCTGTTATTTCCTGCTTTATTTTTCTTTTACTAGTAGTTTGTAGCACTTTGCACATTGTTAGGCAGTTTTATTTTTTGTAAAACTTGTACCTTTGTTTGTTGTAAAGCATGATGAAATGAAATAGCTTTTGAAAAGGTGTTTGTAATTTGAACTTTTAGCATCGTATCGCATCAATTTATTTTGCGCAAAAATGAACTTGAATGGTAATGCGCATTGTGTAATCACCAAGTCAGGTAGTGAACCGACGCAACAAACTAAACAAAACAACTTACTAAGATATAACAGAATCTTTAGCAAGTTTACAACTCGATAAGCAAAATGCAACAACGCAAAAATAAAAAAGATTTTAACAAAAATTGCTTAAACAGAGAGCAACGGCCCAAAAACATAAAACACGTCCGCTCGACGAACAACTCGATAAGCAAAATGCAACAACTCGATAAGCAAAACTCAACAACAACAAAGTGTACTTCTGACGACCTGGGCACCGGAACGCATCCGAAATGAAGGCCTTCGACTCTCCCGTTGCATGGGAACGCTTGGAACTTTCCCCAAAGGGTAAAACAGGGCCAAGGAGATACACTGCAGCATTGCCAGCCACCACTGGGAGCCGGCCGGCCATTTTTGGTGGAGAGAGACAGCTGGCCGGCCATTTCTGAAAAAGTAAATGGCTGGCCAGCCAGAAAAAGTAGCTGGCCGGCCATTCAGTCCTGCAGTCTCCAGATTTTTGACACGTGTCCCCGTGAATAGTGTTTTTCCTTCTATAAAAGCCTCAACTTCGGGAACATTCATTTCATCTTAGTTTTAGCCAAAGATGGAGGCGTTTCTCGCAGAAAAAGTCACATCTTGGATTTCTTCTCTAGATGGCTCGGAAAAATTGAATTTCCGGGGTTTCGGCTTGAATGCACTATTCACGCTGAGCCGTACTCCGTTACATCT